AAGGATATAAGTATATATGTACCTGCATAATGAATTGAACGGCCAAATTTGGTGTTCCATCTTCTTTTATAATATCGACCACTTTACTAGCAAAACTACACTTCTCCCTAATAGCTAATTTGATCATCTCGATACCTTCGTAAATGATGCCCATGGTAGCTTTCTTGTCAGCATCCATCATTCTTAACACCGTGAGCAAAAGGGCAGTGGCCTATACGACACTGGAACATCGAGCCTAGAACCTCCTATATGTGACTATGCCCTCCACTTTTAGCTCATTACTGGACTTCGAGAGGCAGTCATTTAACCACTATTTACTGGTAAACAAGCTCTTCAATGCAACTTGAGATTCCCGAATGAAGTCTATAGTCAAGTAATCTGTCGCAAAGCGGGTTATGACGAGCCTAATTATCTTTTTTTTTTTCAGATTGTTATCTAAACAAAAATAAGATTTTGGAGTGGTTATATATAAATCTTGAAACGAACCTTGCTGCCTCTAGAGAAGTGTTTGCAAAACCGACTGATCTAACCACTAACCACTCGGTTAGTTTGGAATCGGCCCGTGGTTGGCCAGTTCTAGTTTTGGTGATCAACGAGTATTTTAAACGTTAAATAGAATATTACTTCAAATTCATATCAAATATATTTGAATAGCTTATCGGTTAGCTTTTATGTTTAAGTTACACGTGAATCATATTCGATTTTTTATGTTTAAAATCCATTTTTTTTTCATTAATTCTCAACTTCATTTGAGTGTGTGTTTTGTTTTATTATATGCTTTTCATATTTTAGTATATTTTTTTTGTATTTTTTTTATTTTTTTCAATATTTTTTTGATCATTCAGGACTTGCCCGATTAGAGCGGTTGAATCGGTTGGTTTACCGGTTAGGTCAGTTAAATCGCTTCCAAGCCCATGTTCGGTTAACTGTTTCGGTTTGGTTTTACGAACACTGCTCTAGACACAATTTTGATCTTGCTGATCTCCTCTAACATAAGATCGATGCTGTGTGCAGCACACGGGGTCTATACTAGATGCTTCATCTTATCCATCAACTTGCTACCCGCAAAAACACAAACAGTTGCATTGTCCGTAATAAACTAGACCACATGCTTATCTCCAACATCCTCCACTATCTGGTCATATAGCCGTACCAAGAAGTTTGCATCATTCTTTTTTCCTAAAACGTCTTTGCTTGACAAGAAGGCTGTACCTTTTGGGCAATAGGCCAAGAAGTTAAGATATTCCTTTTTGCTAACTTTATTCAACCAACCATCACTTATGAGAGTAATGTTTGTTCTTAACCAACCCTGTTTATATTCTTCAATCCACTTCCTAACTTCCTCCACCTCTTCATTCAAGATTAACCCACTGAGCTCATATGCAGTCGGGAGCTTTACCAAGGGCCCGGCTCTCTAGATTACAATGACCATAGGTGGGACAAATGGGTTATTGCCTGCATCAAAGGAGATCCATTTATCGTAGAACCATTTACCAACGTATCTACCCAATATATTCCTTGTACATTTCACCATGCCTTTGAGGGTCATTTGCTGTAACTTGGGCTTTGAGAGAAATGGGTCTATGTGACTATGACCTGTAATACTGGTGTTCCTAGATAAGCCAGGAACAATTTCCTCAATGTCTGGTGCTTCTAGATACATATTGCCACTAACCCCTCCATACATATTTGAGTTAGGCCTGTAATACATGCTCTAGCTGGCCCCGCCATACATGCTCGAGCTAGGCTCGTCATGCATACTTGAGCTGAGCTCGTCATGCATGCTTGGGTTGGGTCCACCATGCATGCCCATGTCATAACCACCAGGCATTCTGAATCCGATTCCCTCTGGTATGTTTCGTGTAAGCTCATTCTTGTGGTTATCTCCAAGTCATTATTATATTGCTCTTCTAGATCCATCCCGCTTGATGGTATATATAAGCCAGCTATCTCCTCATCCATCATCCGCTTTGCGACTTTTTTACCTTTGGTAGCCTTGAGAATGTCTGTCATATACTTTCTTACATTGCTAGGGACACTCTTATACGCAGAAACATCTCTCTTAAACCCTGCCAAGTGTTGTTTTAACATATGTTCCCCCCCACTACTTACCACTTTTTTACAGTAATTACAAATAATTTTATCTTGTTTGTTGGAATCAAGTCTGACCCATGTTGCCATGCAGGGTCTTCCCTAGATCTTGCCATGATTCCACTGTTTTGAGATGTAAATGGTTAAAATGAACCTGATAATTCAACATGAAAAATAATCGTCATGTATAGTGATAATGTGTAAGGGTAGTTCACGAAGTTATCTTTGTTGTTCATGCAAAATATTTCTATTGGCAAAAATATTTTATTTATGCAACATTACAGATAAAAATAGTATGTATTAGCCAAACCTAGAATCAAGAAATAAATAATTAAATTTACAATGATATAGTATCAATAAAAATTATATTTACAATTGTATATAGTCATTCACAATGCCACTACATATAGACTCGTCACGAATCTTCATTTTGACGAGCATGAATTAATTCCTACTAGCAAAAAAAATTCATTGATGTAACATTATAGATAAAAAGAGTATGTAGAAGTCAAACTTAGAATCAAGAAAAAAAATATATTTACAATGACATAGTATCAATAAAATTTTTTTTACAATGATATAGTAATTCAGAATGGCACTACATGTAGACTCGCCACAAATCTTCATTTTGACGAGCATGAATTAGATCCTAATGGCAATATTATAGGTGAAAATAGTATATATAAGCCAAACTTAGAATCAAGAAATTTTTTTTACAATGATATAGTATCAATAAAAAATATATTTACAATAGTATAATCATTCATAATGCCCCTACATGTAGACTCATTACAAATCTTCATTTTGACAAGCATGAATTAGTTCCTACTAGTAATTTTTTTTTATTTATGCAACATTATAGATAGAAAGAGTCTGTATAAGTTACACTTAGAATCAAGAAAAAAAAATATTTACAATGATATAGTATCAATAAAAAAAATTTACAATGATATAGTCATTCACAATGCCACTACATGTAGACTCGTTACAAGTTTTCATTTTGACAAGCATGAATTAGATCCTACTGGCAAAAAAATATATTTATACAACATTATAAGAATATATTTATGCAACATTATAGGTGAAAAGAGTATGTATAAGCCAAACTTAGAATCAAGAAAAAAACAAAAAAATTACAATAATATAGTATCAATAAAATAAATAAAATTACAATAATATAGTTATCCACAATGGCACTAGACTTGTCACAAATAATATTTACAATGATATAGTCATTCACAATGCCACAAATATATTTACAATGATATAGTCATTCAAGATAATATAATTATAAAATATGTATCAAGAATATACAAACATTTTATGTATCAACATACATTTTTTACATTAAAAATTTAACGATAAAATTAAAAAATACAAGTTAATTTCTCATGATAATCAAAACTTGTCGCGATTTTTCAGAAAATCACGTTTTTTCAAAAAAAATGGAAAACACCAACAATCGCGATTTTTCAAATTTAGTTAATCACACAAATAACACCAATAATCGTCTGAATAACATTGTTATCCTCAAAACCCCTCTGAAATCATTCAAAATGATGCCCTAATTTGGCTGAAAATTTTGGTTTCGCGGATTTTGAACTCTTTCTAAAACGTAGCCACAACTCCATTTCTTCAAAAATCGAGCAATAAAAATTGATTAATCCCATAAATTACATCTAAAATCATATAAAGAACAATATTAAGTTCAAACACCCTCTGAAATAATTCATAATGGTGCTTTAATTCGTCTAAAATTTATAGTTTGATGGGGAAAAAAAAAACCCATAACTTTTATTGAGAAAACGTTGACTCAAAAAAAAAGATCGACCTCAAATCGAACAAAAAAGATAAAATGGGATACAATTTATGATCAATAGCATTAAAAAAAACCAAAACCCTATGATATGAAAAAAAAATTTGCTAAAAATCGATTGGAATCAATTAAATGACAAAAAAAAAGAAGCTCATACCTGTTTTTCTGAAACCATGACTTCAAACCCAAATTTGACTTGTAATATACCAAAATAAGCGAAAATGGTGTATAATTTCTACTCAATAACACTATTAGGAGTAAGAACCCTCTAACTTGATAAAAAATAGTGCCCTATTTCGTTTACATTCCAACAAATGGCGGATAACTTAAAAAAAGTCATCTTCTTCTGATAATGTGATCTAAATTCGAGCTTTCAATTTGAATACAATGATCATTAAGGCTAAAAAGTAATAGATAAAACTTGAAAGATTCAACCCAAAGCCTGCAAGATCCAATAATTGATAAAAAAAAATCCAAATTTTGATGATTTTTCATGCTTTATACTGATCATCGAGTCTTGAACATTGACTCGAGTGGTTCACTATAGCGAATCGTCGGTTCTTTTCTAGAACCAGAAAACTCTACGTATTTTACTGGAATCGACACAAGCTGATCGATTCCTATGTCAACTTGGGTGAGTCCATTATGACTCGCCGTTTTTTGAAACACTAGGTCTATCCTAGCTTGCAACAAGCCTACGTGTGGAAAGAGAGAGAGAGAGAGAGAGAGAGAGAGAGAGAGAGAGAGATTTTGATACTGTGTTTTTTAATGAGTAATTGAGTAGGGAATACAAGCCCTACTCATTTTTAAAATGGTTAATAGTTTTTTAAGATGTCAATAGGAATGGAAGCCCCGATTTAAATCGATTAGCCAACCCCAATTAATCAATAAAAAGCTAAAATGATGATGATGATGAGTGGGAATGAAAGCTACAATGTACAACTGAAGTATGGGGGGTGTTACCACTACGACCCTAGCCCCTTTCCCAAGATTTTAATACTAATGTCTCTTCCTTTATAGAGGTAGTTTGGGTCTTTGGGATAACCACCTAATAATAACAGCTAAGCATGAATTCAACTCAAAAGTCAAAACCAATATGAACATTATAGTACTATGCCACTGCAAATTTGCAAAACCAGAGCAGCCTGGAAAACTGGTACAAAGTTGCCAAAAACAACTTCGTTGTTTGACGCAATAAATCTTATGGCCATTACTTTTTCTCTCTTTGGACCAGTATTATGAGCTCATAAAATTGCAATTAATGCAAAAAATAAAAGGTTAGCAATAAAATTGATACCAAAGAAATTTCAGTAAAAGTACTTATCATCAATCCCTATCTATGGTCAAATGGAAATGGGGGACCTTGGAGTAGATGCTGTAAAGCTAGAATTAAGCTTACTGCAAAAGTTTGAGGCATAGAAAACATCGGAGGAGCCGGGCTTGGTGCCATGCCATGGTGCAACGGCATTGGTGGAACTGTGTTAGGTGCCATGCCATGGTGCAAAGGCATAGGAGGCATCGGTGGAACTGTGTTAGGTGCCATGCCATGGTGCAAAGGCATAGGAGGCATTGGTGGAACTGTGTTAGGTGCCACGCCATGGTGCAAAGGCATAGATGGCATCGGTGAAACTGTGTTAGGTGCCATGCCATGGTTCAGAGGCATATGAGGCATTGGTGGAACTGTGTTAGGTGCCATGCCATGGTGCAAAGGCATAGGAGGCCTTGGTGGAACTGTGTTAGGTGCCATGCCATGCAAAGGCATAGGAGGCCTTGGTGGAACTGTGTTAGGTGCCATGCCATGGTGCAAAGGCATAGGAGGCCTTGGTGGAACTGTGTTAGGTGCCATGCCATGGTGCAAAGGCATAGGAAGCATTGATGGAACTGCGCTCGGTAAAATTCCATGGCTCAAATTTGGAGGAATGATGGGGTTTTGCATATTGGGAACCCATGGATTATGATGATTAGGCCTTAAAAATGGAAAACCACCAACTTCTACCATGTCTGTAGAGTGCCGTGCCTTCTTCAATGGGGCATCACCATTATCGAATTCCCAGCCTCTCTTGGCTCTCACCAAAGAATCTTTGTTAAATTCTTTCTCCAAAGTGGGAAACATATCAGTTCCAAATAAGAGGGACTTCAATTTGTTAGCTTGTATTTTTCCCTTCATGAAAGCCGCCAGGTGATTGAGAGAGCGCCTGATGCATTCGTAGATCTTCCCCATCTCAGGCTTACCAACTGATCTTGCCAAATTTTGGGATCGGTCCAGAAAATCCTCCACCTGGGATTTCATGAAAAATGTATGCTGCTCCAAAGTTCGGTAAAAAATACAAATAATAAAATAACAAGAGAACCCTTAAATTTAAGACATGGTGGTATGCGTATTGCCAATCTAAGGGTCTACGAGAACAGGAAATGACCCCAATGATGGATCCCATTATGTCTCCATCACTGTCAATCATTTCTTTTTATCGGGTGTCTCCAAAGAGACATTTCATTCATAACCTCAATGGATGATGGTTTAGATAATCCAGTTGGGTTACATCATATTTCACCTCCAAAAAGAAAAGGTCAAATTTGAAAAATTACACTCATATTGTATGACTCAGAATCCCATGTTTTAGAAATCCAGGTTCCCTCGTAAGTGCTTGCACAAAGTCCCTTCTCCCAAAGAGTTTCAACTGACAATAGCTGCAAGAAGAAAACCACAAAAGGAAACGTTAAAATCCTATCCATGTAAAATGTCGTCTTTTTTTGAGAAAAAAAAATCACTTCAGTTACAATGTAACTAGGAAACTATTAAAACACAGAGATATGGTGCACCTGTCTAATGGACCTCAAACAGAACTATTGAACTCTATACAAACCTGGATTAGTAGGGATACAAAGAGCTGTGAGACAGATTCTTCATTCTGAGCCCCAAAATGCCGGAAACCCTGAGCTACATTTGCAGACCTAAAATAATCAATGCCATCTGGAAGACAATTGCAGCACCTTGTCAGTACGTTCCAGATTGTACATTTCAGTCCCGTGGTAATTAAAAGAGAAAAAATTCAATTAGTCAACATTGACCTAACAACATTTAATTACACTGAACAAAAATTTTCTTTATCAAGTGAGTTCATATATATGCTGTAATAGCCATTGCATCAATTCACGTAAATATTTGTCAACGTATTTCACCTTATTATTCTGTATACTTGCAAGGCACTTCGTTTCTCTCTACAAATCACAACATTGGCTAGATGAAAATACCATTTTTATATGATTGTACAAAAGAAAGCATTGTCATTTACTTCGTTCTTTTTCTATGAACATGGTATCAGTCCACGAAAGGCAAAATTTAAACAAGAGCAGAAACATGAATTCCTATTAAACATTATTTTCTTTCAAACAACAAATTATAATGTTTATATCTGATCAATTGTAATATTTCTATCTGATCAATGTTATTTTCTATTCCTTATCCATGCCTCAACTTCCTTTATAGTGTTCAACACTACAGCAAGACAAATTTTTTTTTTAATTTCTTTTATAAAAGAAAATGCATTAGAGTGATGCCCATGGTGCTCACCCACAACAAACACCCTTCAATGCCAAACCCAGTGAGAAATGAAAGCCACCATCTGCAGGAGCCAAGCTACATTGAACCAGCAGAGATCATCCCACCTTCAAGTCCGGCAACAGAAGCCACCATTACCCATAGCAAAACCCCTTACACCCAAAGCTCACCCATTATGCCCAATGTTTCCAAACTCAGACATGATCATTTCTGCCTGGACATCTCATCCTTCTCCGACTTCGATTCCTCAAAAAAGTCCGATACTGAATCTTTCGACTCTGCTGATTCTGAGCAGATCGAGCGCATCGACCAAGCCCAGGGAGATATCACCAAGTCTTGAAGGTGATGGGCTTCCACTGTGATGGGCTGCAAGCGGATATCAGTGATTTCGTTGAAGCTAATGCAACCACAAGGGCTAAGGGAGAAAGGAAAAGAGGAGGGAATCGATAATCTCTCTTTCTACATCTCATATGAGAAGGAAAACCCTCGGCGTTCCCCCAGCCCTATTCCGGGCTCGGCCACCTTGGACAGCCAGCAATCCAGACGCTCCTTAAGGTGCCTGGCCTTGTCCCCCAACCTATCCTCATGAAGATGTTATCTTGGAACATTTCAGGGGCTCAGTGATACTAGGAAGCGCAAAGCCATTTAAGCCTTCTACCATAGATTCAACCCTGATTTGCTAGCTGTCATAGAATCCAAACAACCTTCTCCAACCCTTCTTTGGTGCGAAGAATTTGGGGACCCTGCCAATGAGAAGCCCTGCAATCTCAAGCCGCTACTGGAGGGATTTGGGTCATTTGGGATCCAACACACCATCCCAACACAAAACGAATATAGTCTCCTCTGTTTCACTATGGTTCATGAGAAACTCATATGGGCACACTTAGAAATTTTATGTTGTTTATAAGCCTCAGCCCAGATCTCAGGAGCCAATTTTGGGAGAATTGGAAAAAGTTGCATTTTGTCGCCCACCCCATGGTGTGTGGGAGGTGACTTTACTGTCACTAGGTGGTCCCTTGAGAGAAACAGGATTGAGAGGATTTCTAATAGTATGTTTCAATTCTCTGAGTTCATCTCCAGAAATCGCCTTATCGATACCCCCTCAATGATCTCTATTCACCTAGTCAAACCAAACTCCTCTCAAGTTTCTCATTAGTATCGATTGGGATGACATCTTGCCTGAAACCCATAATTTTGCTCTCCTAAAACCCATTTCCCACCATAGGCCCTTCCTGTTAGACATGACAGATGTCGCCTTAGCCAGCAAACCCTTCATATGCGAACTATCCTGGATGGTGGGACTCTTTTTCAGTTCAGAGATGGATGGTTTACCATCTACGCAGAAAATTACATTGCTCGAACTCTAACTCAAAGAAGGGAGCAGGAACCTCCAAGGGAATTTCAGAACCTCCAAAGAGACCCCTCTAAGAATCATTACTGACCTGGACTCCACCGGAGAAAATCAAAACGTCACCCAAGAGGAGAGAGACAAACTTGAATATCATTCGGTCCTTGAAAAGAGGAATCTTTTGGTACCAACGCTACATAGTGATAAGGGTGAAAACTAGAGACCAAAACACTGGCTTGTACCACATAATAGCAAACTATCACCAACGTTACAATGCCAAAACCTAGATCACAGTAGGAACCCACCTCTGCGACCAATCCCAAGAAGCCGAAACAGCAATTGTAGGTTTCTACCAAAACCTCTTCTCAGCCTATAGATGTCCTCGATCGAAAATGGCTGAGCTTTCCTTTCACTTCCTTCCTAAAGAAAGGACCTTATGGCTGGAGGGACCATTTTCCAAAGAAGAAACTTTAAAAGCCATCAAGAGCCTCCTACAGGAAAAAGCCCATGGTCCAGTTGGTTTCCTTGTGGCCCTTTTTAGCCAATTACAGGACTCCTTGTGCACAGGTATGTGAGCCTCCTTTTTCATGGAATCCTCCACCACAGGGGAACTATTCGCAAGGCCATGAATGTCACCTTCCCAGACATGGTATCAAAAATAGAAGGAGCCAGCAATCTTAAAGAGTTTAGACCAATGTTATTAACCTACTTAATAGTTCCTACAAAATCCTCTCCAAGGTCCCTACCTCTCACCTAAGAGTGGTCCTCAACTGTGACATCTCTCCAAACCAAGGGACTTTTGTCAAGGATAGACAAATTCTAGACGACGCCTTCGTAGCCCAAAAGTGTTGGGGTTTGTGGCCTTTAAAGGCCATGAGAGCATGTAAAAAGACATTTATAGTGGATTATACATTTCAGTATGAGTGTTTATTGTTTGACTGACCAAGAGTTAGGCAATCTATGGCCTTGGTCATGTCTAAAACCTTTATCCTGGGCATGTGGCACTACCAAAAAGGGTTTTACAGTGGGTCATTCCTTGTTGATGTTAGAGAGATACCCAGGGATGGTTTGTGGGTGGGGATAACTACATCTCCTATGTGCGGATGTAGGCCTATGAAAACGAAGATTAAATCCTCATCAAACTTCCATATGGTATATATATATGACAGCCGCATTACAGGGAAGAAACTCTAAAAAAAGATACATGTACATGTAGAGTCCCCCTTTTTGCACTATAGTGGCATGCACTTAGCTTGGTTCCACTGTTTATTTGCCAGCATTGACGAGCCAATCATGAGCCGTTGTATGAGACCGTGGGTCATAGGTTACGTTGGTTTCATTTTAGACGACAGATGTTGATCACGGTCACTAGGTCCGGTGGAGTGTCCCTATAGTCACTTATTTTCACCATTAGTCACTTCTAGATATTTTATCTTTGGTATTAGAAATGTTTCTTTAATTTTAAAAAAAATTTCAGAAATTTTAAAATCTGTTTTTGCCGTAAAATTCCTCAAAAGGGTATTTACAAATTTTGAGAAACAGGAAGGGTACATGGATTCAGCCCCACATGCCACATTCCATTGGGGGGGGGTGTACATAGGGTCACATCAACCAAACCATAGAGGGTGGCACGTCCCACTCCTTGATTTAAAAAGTATGTTTTTGAATACATAATCTTTTTAAAAGAATGGGATTTAAAAGAAAAGATTCTGTCTTTATTTTGTGGGAGTTAGTTTGACCAAATAATGTTGTCTTTGATTTCTTACAATTTTGGAAAGAGATATTTGGAAGTTCTAGAAGGTTTTTTAAATTGGTCTAATTCTTTTTGGACTAGAAGTGGATATGGGTCAAATATTAAGGGAATATTAGCCCCAAATCATGTTAGCTGATTTATGGTGTGGATAGCTCAGATTTGTTTCTCTCTTACCTCGCAGATTTCCAACATTCCTATCCATCAAGGTGAGTCATTGGATAGGTATACCTATGGGGGGGGGGGGGGGGGGGGGGTTGAGGC